AATGAAATATATTGGGAGTTCTCGGGTCACCCCACCCCCTCCTGTTTGAAAACTTGGAAATGGTTGAGATCCCCACCCCTAAACCATATATATTCATGTATGGGACAATAAAACAGATCAAATGAAATATAGAGGGAGTTCCTCGGGTCACCCCACCCCCTCCTGTTTGAAAACTTGGAAATGGTTGAGATCCCCACCCCTAAACCATATATATTCATGTATGGGACAACAAAACAAATCAAATGAAATATAGGGGGAATCCATGGGGACACCCCACCCCCTCCTGTTTGTGAACTTGTAAACGGTCGAGATACCCACACCTAAACCATATTTATTCCTGTTCATCATTTCAAAAAGATTTGAATGACATACATGGTCAGTCTCCTAGGTGTCACATATGCATATCACTTTACTAGACCAAACCAATATGAACTGGATTTTGCCCAATGTCAGGAGACCATGGGAATGACGAATTATGGGGGCTTTGTTTGGGAGACTTCCTAACGGCATCCTGTTAAAATTATTTCTTGTTTATTATAAAATTTTATTGATGCAAAAAATGAGTCTAGGTTAATTGAATTTACTTTAATTATTTATTCAATTATTTCTGGGCCTATAATAATTTTCATTTATGGCCCATTTTAAAGAAAACATATAAATCTTTCAAGAAGTGTAAATCCGAGAATGTTTGACCAACTGTTTTATAATCACCTGTCATTTTATTCCAAACTTGGTATGGAGTAACATCATGCACTTGGGGGTGAAGATGGGGGTCATTTACATTGATATATGAGTTGCTTTTGAAAACCTTGATGAAATATTAATTAATTTGCCTTAATAATCAATTCATTTAATGAACATAAATGTACAATATACGAATGTTTAATGTTTGTTCTTTCAAATCTTAAAAAAATTGAAGCAACACTGCCACAGTTATAATAATAACGTTTGCCTTGGTTTTTTGGTTAACTGCCTACAGTTCTTACAGCGCTTTGATTTGTCTCGCCTTGACGGAGTCAAAAAGCGAGACATAGGTATGCTGTTTCCAGCGGCGGCGTCAACAATGTATTGCAGATAGTTTGTGATTAGGTCTAGTTCATGGTGAACCACTAGTGGTAGGTCAATGATATTTGGTATGCAGTTGTATAAGCATTGGCACATCTCATTACCATGGAGATTATTTGGCCCCACCCCCTCAGTCAAGGTATATTGACTTTGAAACTTTGCTAAGTTTACATGTATTAGTTTGTGATTAGGTCAGTTTATGGTGAACCACAAGTGGTAGGTCAATGATATTTGGTATGCAGTTGTATTAGCATTGGCACATCTCATTACCATGGAGATTATTTGGCCTCACCCCCTCAGTCAAGGTCTATTGACTTTGAAACTTTGCTTAGTTTACATGTATTAGTTTGTGATTAGGTCAGTTTATGGGGAACCACTAGTGGTAGGTCAATGATATTTGGTATGCAGTTGTATAAGCATTTGCATATCTCATTTCCATGGAGATTATTTGGCCCTGCCCCCTCAATCATGGTCTATTGACTTTAAAACTTTTGCTTAGTTTACATGTATTATAGTTTGTGATTAGGTCAGTTTAAGGGGAACCGTTAGTGGTAGGTCAATGATAATTGGTATGCAGTTGTATTATAAGAAGCATTAGCACATCTTATTTCCATGGAAAATATTTGGTCCTTACTTCTCAGTCATGGTCTATTGACTTTGAAACTTTTGCTTAGTTTACATGTATTAGTTTGTGATTAGGTCAGTTTAAGATGAACCACTAATGTTAAGTCAATGATATTCAATGCATTTGCAAGTTTCATTTCCATGGAGATTATATAACCCCACCCCCTAATTATGGTTCATTGACTTTGAAACTTTTACATAGTTTACAAGTTAATGTTTGTGTTTAGGTTTGTTTAAAGGGAACGACTTATGAAAAATCAATGGTATTTGGTTTGCAGTTGTATTAGCATTGGCACATCTCATTTCCATGGAGACTGTTTAGCCCTGTACATTCAGTCATGGTTCATTGACTTTGAATATTTGCATAACTTACATGTTAAAGTATTGTAATTTTAATCTCAACATTTTCATTATCAAAATAACAAATAGGCGAGACATATCTCTGTGTTAACAGTTTATGTTAAGTTCTTGATCGTTATATATATAATTATTTGCAGTTACAATTAAGGCCAATAAAAAATAGGTGTGTTTCCTGTTGCATGCTCCCAAAAAATAAATTGGAAGGTAAAAAAAAATCTTACGAGACAAAATACTGTAAGTCATGACTATTTCAGTATAGCTTACAATCAACTTACAATCAATTTTTGTTGTAAATTTTTGCGAAAAGATCGACCCCCCCCCCCCCCCCCCCCCCCCCCCCCCTGATTTTATTTCCATCAACCTTCAGGCTTATCATGAAGTGCGACAATGTTACCAACTGCGAGGTGAGGTCGTGTGAAATTTATTTAAATGGATATATATGCTGACTGAATGATTCCTTTCTTTAACTACCCATGGCAATCAGTGGATTACCTGTAAAAAAATAGTGATACAAATTTTGTGACCATTGATTTCTCATATATTTAACTTTCACAGACATGTTCATTTTGCCCAAAGGTGTCCTTAAAACCACAAATCGCCCAAACATGTCCAATTTCACATTCCCAAATGGTCCAATTATTTACTTCACCAAAATTGTTATTCGCCCAAATCTTGTCCACTTTATAAAAACTTTAAGCTCAAATATGTCCTCAATATTTATGCACAAAGGTTAACGATATTCAATGATGGGTAAACAGACACCTGATAAGAAGGAATATCACAATAAAATGTTATCTTGCGACAGCTCTATATTAATTTTTTGTCAATATGATTATTATTTTTATAATTTTAGATGAAGGTATTTCACAAATATTATACATTAAGTTTTATCATGCCAGTTTTCACTAGACTAGTGGAAGTTTTCTCAGTGCTCCAGCTATTGATTAAGTAATCATTAATTAGCATTAGTTTGTTCAAAGTCAGTTGTTTATATTTAGCATAATAATTTGCAACACATACATTAACTCTTGGTGGTTGATTGCTTGATGTACAGTGGCAAATATTTCATGCATATTTAGAGCAAATATAAAGATTGCAATTAGTTAGTTTTGTTCAATTTAATTCATTGTTTACAAAGTAAATTATTATTTTGCACTAAAATACTGCAGTGATGCCTATATATCTTAATAATGTATCAGGGATTCAGGGTACTGCAGGTACGGCTTTCTGCAAAAGTGGTTTCTGGGCTTTTAGAGAAGTACTGTTTCATTTTTACAATAAAACAAAAGGACAGTTTCTGTAATAATTTCAATAGGATTTATATTTGAATAACATGATTAATTTACAAATCACTATTTAATAACGGTGCACATGACTAAGCATTCATAAAAGTGAGACATTTTGGCTTCATATGGAGCGTTTTAGTGTTCATAATTATAAAAAGGACATGTTTTTGGGATAGATGTCACCTGTTTCTGAGTGTTACAAACATAATACTCCTTACTTGGGACCACTCAATGTCAATTTTAAAAATACATGTAGTTTATAGTATACATACATGTATTACTAATACGAAGGGAAAAAGCATTACAAAATTATATGCGGCCATATATATGTATTTTAACCAAAATATCTTCACTGCATGTTTTTTTTTTCAAGTATTGAACACGTTTGTGAAATAATAATTTCAATGTGTTGCTTCATGCATACTATAGCTATATATTATATGGATGATAATGTACGTTGTATTTAAAAAGTTGCACGGACATATATTAGTTCGAGACAAAAATTGGTTAGACAAATAGGTTGAAATCCAGTAATTTTTTGCAAAATCTAAAAATTATCCAAAATTTGGAATGATATGGAAAGTTCCGACATGTGTTCGTTTGTTCACAAATACAAATAATAATGTCACATGATTATTCAATGATGTCAGATTCATTATCCACCATCTTTATGTGTGCATACAAATTTCCTCATCATAGTCATTTTTCGTGTATAAACTTGAATAAATTGAAAAGATATGTTCATTGTTACATGTTAAATACAAAGATATTGCAATTACAGATAATTCAGAAATTATGTTGGTTAGATATTTTAGAAATCAGAGAAAAATGTCAGTGACCCAATATCATCAAGGTTCACATTTTTGTCCATTGTCTACATTTCTAAAAAATGGGATTGTTACTTACCGCTCTCAAAGACAAATGTCAACAGCACCCAAATATAATACAAATGAATTATAGATAATGCTCAAAGGAATTTCTGAAAACAAAAAGATTATATTCTCCATTGAAGTCGAACGTGGAAGAAGACTCATTCATGGAATTTTTTATGGCACGATAGATCCTTACTCACTAGAGGATTTTATATAACAAAATTATATAGGAGTTCACTAACAGTGTCTTCTCTTCTTCTGATATACAATCTCAGCTTCATTTAATATTGAAGATTACGTCAGGATTAATATATTACCTTTACAGTAGCTTCAATTAGGAATTACATTTCAGCGGAGGACATTTATTTATAGTTATCTTTGTGAATCTTTGGGATCACAACAGCTAGTTCAACCAACCAGCGGTATTTGAATTTTGGGAATATCTATTTTTAATGCAGTTTTTTGCACACTTAAATAGGAATTATAGAAAAATGGAATGCTGTTAGTAGATATAAAAAAGAAAATAATAAACTCTTTTTATAAAAGATGGATTAGATTAGGGTTCTGTGTATTCCATTATTTGTACAACTCTCTTTACACTTGGGAATTTTGTGGAATTTCGTGACCTAAATGGTACGCGAAAATTAACATTTTTATATATAGTATAGTAATAATGCTTGAAAATGGTTGTCGATCACAATATATGAAATGGAGTTCCTGGAAGGGAAAGGGGGAGAAGTCTCCTCCTAAATATTCCATAAAATTCAAAACTTAATATTTACTTTTCTTTCAGAGGTTTGTGGAATGTGCCATACATTAGATATGTTTATCTGATTCATGGTTCCCTAATGCCTAAACTGCAGAGAGCTTTTATACGGGAAGATATATCGGATGAAGAAGAGAGAGATATCAGCTTTACTAAAAATATCAGGGAGAAGGTAGTAGGAAAACTATATCATAACATAAATCTGTTTCAGTACAAATACAATAAAGAAATTGGTTCTTAGAAATACATATATTTCATGTTACCTTGGAAATTACAAACTGCAGGATGATGTGAAGTAAAGAAAGCAACCAAACAACTGGAATAATCAAATAAATATCAAAAAGTCATTTTAAGGTCTTCAAGGGGGACTGGCACAGACACTTCATGGGAAACTTTTAATCTTTTTCAACCTAGACATCATGAACATGATTTTTTATGCCCCCGCCGTAACGGAGGGGCCATTAAGTTTTACCTTTGTCTGTCTGTACGTACGTCCCAAAATTGGTTTCCTTTCTCTAACTTTAGTTTGCCTCAACCAAATGTTATGAAACTTATACACAATGCTTATTACCACAAAACACAGATCAAGTTTGAATGTTGGTGGCGTCACTTTTACTGTTCTAGAGTTATGCCCCTTTACAAATGAAAAAATTGCTGAATTTTTCGATTCTGTTCTCTAATTTGAGTTAATCACTAGCCAGTCAACACTGAGGTTGTGAGTTCGAACCCCGCTCGTGCAGGTGCACTCAACTCCAATCTTAATTGACTAGGATTGTCAGTTTTCCTATCGAAGGTCAGTGGTTTTCTCTGGCACTCCGGCTTCCTCCACCAATAAAAACTGACTGCCACAAAATAGCCCAAAAGCGGTGCTTAAAAGTGGCGTAAAAACACCAAAAATCAAATAAATCTAATTTGAGTTTGCCTCAACCAAATGTTATGAAACTTATACACAATGCTTCTTACCACAAAACACAGATCAAGTTAGATTTTTGGTGGCATCACTTTAACCATTCTAGAGTTATGCCCCTTTATAAATGGAAAAATTGCAAAATTTTTATTTTCTTCTAAATTTTAAGTAATTTTTAAAATTGGAGTTATCTTCCTTTGTCCATTTTTATTGTTGAATCAACTACAATCAATGCTTTATACAATGCAATGTTTAATTTTGACTTCCACTGATAAAACACAGATCAAGTTGAATTTGGGTAGTGTCACTTTAACCATTATTGAGTTGTGCCCCTTTATAAATCGAAAGATTGCAAAATTTTTAGTTTCCATTCTGTAACTTAAGTTTGCCCCAACCAAACATTATAAACCTATACACAATATTTATTGCCACAAAACTAAGATCAAGTACAAATTTTTTGTTTCCGTTTTCTAACTTTAGTTTGCCTCAACCAAATGTTATGAAACTTATACACAATGATTATTACTACATAATACAGATTAAGTATGAAATTTGGTGGCGACACTTTAACCATTCTTAAGTTATGTCCCTATATAAACATAAAAATTGCTGAATTTTTTGTTTCTATTCTCTAACTTTAGTTTGTCTCAACCAAATGTTATAAAACATGTACACAACCATTCTAGTTATGTGTGTTTACGAATAGAAAAATTGCTTAATTTTTAGTTTCTGTTCTACACTTAAGTTAGCCTCAACCAAATGTTATGAGACTTACACACAATGCTTATTACAACAAAACTCAGATCAAGTTCAAATTTGGGTAGAGTCACTTTTACCGTTCTTCACTTATGTCCCTTTATAACTATATGATATGCAAGCAGGGGCATCATCTGTGTCCACATGTGGACACTATCCACATTTATATATAAATTTCAGGATTCCCATGTAAATCCCGGTGGAAATATACTGGGATCCCACTGGGATATTGTTGGATTTTGATTGGAATATACTGAAATTCCCAGAAAAAATCAGGATCCTGAAATAAATCCCAGTGGAAATATACTGTTATATTGTGGGATTTTGATTGGAATATACTGGGATTCCTGGAAAAAAGGGGGATACCGAAATAAATCCCAGCAGGATATACTGGAATTCCATGCACTTACTTGACTCCATTGGGATTCCTGGTTTATTTATTTATTACCCTTGTGTAAGTGGCGAAAGGATACATGATGTAAAGTTTTCCTCCTTTCTGTAAATAAATTTGCTGTCTCTGTACTTCCAACTAGTATTGCTATCTGCATGCAATCTGTTTACTATCAAAATTTGCAGCTCCATTTAATCAAATCATTAAATCCCCTAAAAGTATCAAAAAAATCCACAAAGAATCAATTGTTCAAGACGTTTTGAAGCAATAAATTCAATAGAAATATTATTGCATGTTTATACAGTAGATTGGAAACCATTTACCCTTATTGGTAAATTATTGTATTGGCTTAGTTATGTCCCTTAGACATTCAGATTCTTTATAACTTATACAAGTAAAAAAGTCAAACTATCTTCTTTTTATGAATTTCTCAGGACTTCTTTGCTCTAATAGAATTTGTAATTGTCTGTCCTTTGCAGATGTCTTTACTAATGACTTAAGTGTAATTCCATGGACAATGAAAATCTCATTTGTCTGTTATCTTCAGAATACTGCTCATTTACAAGCCCCCAAGTGGCAATTTTGAAGGCCTTGCACAATTACTTAAGATTTGCCAATTAGTTTCTCTGTCAAATTAATGAGATAAAACATTGAACTCTAATAAAAAATTATGAGCTAACCTGCGAAAAATTGTTAAAGGCATGTTGAGAATTTTAGGGATTGTAAAAAAAAATTACTTATACAAGTAAATTTTTAAGAAAAATAAGGGGAGATTTTTCAAACATTATAAGAAAAAATTAACAAAACAAAATTTACTTATATAAGTATATTATTATTAACTTCTTCAATTAAATAAAGATAACTTGTACAAGTAGTACCCCTGACTGATGGTAAACCATGAATATAGATGTTTAATGAAGTACAAATTTTGTTTCAATTTAATTTAGTGTATCTGTCAAATTCATGCCTTTTATCTTATCAAGGTTGACAAGTTGACCCCAAATTTTCTTTAGGTTTGTATGCAGATTTTTGTTAAACCACGAAATCAAACATCCCCTAAAATACAGGTTTTCATGAAAAAATATGAATCCACAGTATTAATGTGGTATACAAAGACTTGTAAGAGGTACATATTCAATAAAAAAGACAGAGATGATAATATGATGCAGGCAATGATAAGAATTAACAAACAATAAGGCTGAACTATACTGTACCTTTTCTTTTCACTTGACAGGTGAAAAAATTAACAAAATGTTCAGAATCTGATAGTGGAAACTCTGGATTTAAAGAACTTTCCAAATAGATACTTTAAATAACTTTTTTACATTTGTTTTTTTTTTCATTTGACAGGGCATATTTATGTATGTAAACAACATGAAATATCGTGGACATTTGGTGAACTATGAAGACTATAATACCACACACTTACACAGTGACATGTTCCAAATGTTCCAGAATCCTTTGGTAAATATAAAGATAAGATGATGTGGTATGATTGCCAATGAGACAACAGCTAGTCTCCAAAAGAGACCAAATGACACAGAAATAAACAACTATTAGGTCACCGTACAGCCTTCAACAATGAACAAAGCCCATACCACATTATATATTCAGCTGTAAAAGGCCCAGAAATGACAAATGTAAAACAATTCAGAAGAGAAAACTAACTTAGTACATATATGTTCATATTGAAGTGAACTGTTTGATATATTTTGCCAAATTGAGGTTTTGACCTAGATTTCACAGTTCATTCTTGTAGTCATCATCATCATCATGATTAGGTTCCATTATTACAATTCCATCCTAAACAAAACTAGTAACAACAGGACATTGAATGTTCATTTTGGCATTAAATAAAGGCAACAGTAGTATACTGCTGTTCAATAGTCATAAATCGATTTAACTCAAACAAATCTGGGTCACAAACCAAAACCGAGGAAAATACATCAACTAGAAGAGGAAAACAACGGAACAACAATAACACTGAACTGCTGCAAAAACATTAACAGTTTTCTCCCCTGATACTGAATTGACTCCTCTTGAATTCATAATAACATTTTTATCATTTAAAAACCCAATAAGGGTTATATGATATATGGATTCATATTAAGAATAGACATAATAGAGAGAAAAAAAAATGTTTATATTTGATTATATTCTGAGTATTTTCCTGGATACTCAGAAAGCATTTCACAGGGATACTTTATTGGAGCTTGGACAGTGAAGTAAAATTGTAACAAGCAATCTGAAAAATAAAGAATATTTATTTAAAAAAAAAAAACTAGATGAAGTTGCAAATTGAAACTATAGCAATTCATTTATCTTGGAATCTGAAAATAATTCTCTGAAAACATTTGCACAAATATAGATCAACTTATAGTATTATGAATGTGAAGCAGGGAAAAGAGGGAACCTGATTTATGAAATCAAGATCTTCCTTTAGTTTTCAAACCAGACGTCATAAATACATAAGTTTTTGTGTACGAATTGAAGATGTTCTCTTTACTTAGTAACATTTAGTGTCAATCTTAATGCAGGATACCTAATTTGTGTGATAGATTTTTTAATAATTTTCCAGAATGGTTGTTTAGGTATTGAAGATATGCACTTGAATTTATGTACTCATTTTGAGAATTTTTATTTGTTCAAACTGGTATCTATTGGGAGACTGCTGTTTCCCTACTTTTTCTTATTTTTAAAATATGTAGATGTACCATTTGTCTTGTTAGCATTCATTAAATGCTCCAAACTCTTTCTTAAAATTTTTAAATCAAAAAAACATTTGTTATAGGATTGGGAAAGGAAATATATCCATGAAAATTACTCAGTAGCCTTACAAGATGGAGCAGTTATAACACAGGTAGGTAATGTATTTTTTGATGCAGCTTTTTTCAAACATCAATTTTCATTGGTTGAATAATATTGGCAAATTTCTTAGCATCAGTTTCAAGATTGATGCCATAAGAGGATCCTATGCATGTGTTAAATAATTTTCAAATGTATGAAATGTTTTTCATTAATTTCACATATGACCATTAGATACGATCCACATGTAGCTACAATCATGTCCTCTTTTCCTCAATATTTGACATCAAAGAATATAACTTATAAAATTTGTATTTGCCATTCATACCAAAAGACAATTTAAGCCACAATTGAATCAGGAACTATTTACTCTTCTTGAGCATCCGTGTTAACCCCTGTGTTTTGTGGGCGTTTATGTACTTTCTTTTTTTCAGTGTAGTGTTTTGTGATCTGTTTTTGATGTGTAATGGTTGCTTATGGCCATGGTGTTGTGTATATTTGTCTCGCCTTTTCGTCACAGTATGCTAGACATAGGTATTGCTATCCGGCGGCATAACTATTTGTATAAAGCTTTATATTTCAGAAGGTAGGAGACCTGGATGCTTCATACCTTGTATGCAGATACCTTATGTTACGAAGTTTCCATCTGATTGTCCTTGACCTCATTTTCATGGTTCAATGACTGCTTGAAAAAGAAATCTGTTTTTTTGTCATGTGCATTTCTCACATCTTATGAGTATTTGATATATGGGATCCTTGCAACATCTACTTGTCCGTCAGCCAGGGTAAACCTGACCTTGACCTCAATTCATGGATCAGTGATCAAGGTTGAAGTTAAGTGATTAGGTCATTTCTCAGATACTGCAAGCAGCAGGTTAAATAGATGTGGTGTATGGAATTATTGTAAGGGGTACATGTCAGACTGTTAGGTTTCATCTGACCTTGTCCTCATTTTCATGGTTCATTGGTCATTGTTATTTTTTGGGTTTTGGTCTGTTTTTCAAGCATTGTAAGCAGTAGGTCAACTATATTTGTTTTATGGAATGATTGTAAGGTGTACATGTCTGTTTAGCTGGTGTCATCTGACCTTGACGTCATTTTCATGGTTCATTGGTCAATGTTAAGTTATTTTGTTTTGGTCTGTTTTTCAAATACTAATAGCAATAGGTCAACTATAATTGGTTTATGGAATGATTGTTAGGTGTACATGTCTGCCTAGCCAGTATCATCTGACCTTGAACTCATTTTCATTGTTCATTGGTTAACTCTTTAAGTTTTTGTGTTTTGGTCTTTCAAAGTACTTTAAGCAATGGGCCAACTATATTTGATATATGGAAAATTTGTAAGGTGTACATGTCTTTATTACAGTTTTTATCTGACCTTGACCTCATTGTCATGGATCTTTAAAAATGTTAAGTTTATGTGATGCCTGTTCTCAAATCTTTATCTTTAAGACTTTCAACATAAAATCAATGGTCAGTAAAACAGGTGAGACATTTCAGCGTGTGCACTCTTGTTTTCTTCAACGTAGGTTTTTATAGACTTGATGGTAAAACCCAAAACTTATTTGCATATGAAAACATTCAAGCTACATGTAGTATGAATAAAAGAGAATATAGGGCATATGTCAATGTGCGAGCAACCCAAAAGTACAATAAAAGATCTCATGGTCAACTAAGTATACTTTGTAAACAGTTATGATTGCAGTACTAGTTAAACCTGACTGTAGATTTCTTTTATTGAAAAAGGAAACACAGGTAAAATTACTGAAGAATATTAATTGTATGTCCTATTCTACAGTTCAGTTTAGACAGGGATGCTGCGAAGGTTAAACACCAGGTCTAATTAAAGGTCTGTTGTTTTCAGAAATGTATTGCTGTCATATTAAAACTGAAAATCCATTTTACTTTCATTTTTTGCAGCCATGCCCAGATGTGTACTGGTTTCCTATTGTGTCTGATACCTTCTGTGATCACATGATAGAAACAATGGAGAATTATGGGAAATGGAGTGATGGAGGACATGAGGTAATAAATTATACATTTTGTGTTGATCTGTTTGAGCACTGATTACATTGACGTTATGCAATGTATTGTGTCTTAATCGGTAACGACGTAATTTTACGTTTTCAAACTATAACAGAGGTCTTTTTTTCCTTTTCTGTTCTTTTTTCAATGACAAAATTGTTTATGGTCAATATTGATGTCAGGTATTAAAATCCAATGATTTCCCGTTTATTTCCGAAAGCACGGAAGCGGCCGGCCCCCAATTTTGATTTGAATGAAGCAGTGGAGACTTGGTTACAAGTGGATGGAATCATACTTAAAAACACCATTAAATAATCAACACTTAACCAATTCTGATAACTGATGCTACACAAAGACAACAACATCGTAGATTACTGCAAGGAAAATCTTTATTATGGTCTACATGTTTCGCCACTTACGGTGGCGTCTTCAGGACAATTAAAACATGGAAAACAAATACTGAAGTACATAAAATGTGGTGCATATGGGGTTACAAAGGTTAACAAGACGTAAAGTCACAATAATTATTTAGTACTTCAGTATTTGTTTTCTATGTTTAAATTGTCCTGAAGAATTTCACTTTCATCTGAAATAGAAAAATTATTTATTTCCACATGGTATCTTGAGTAAGTCTTCACCAAATCCTTGAAATTAAGAAATGTTTTTAGAAACTACAAACACAGATCGATATCAAACCAATTTCTCTTTTGTCTTTCCAGAGCAATGCGATTGATAATGCAAAATATAGCAAAATTTTGGTTTCAAGACACATGATGCCCCAAATAATTTTAAATTTTAAAATATTGTTAGGGACCACTAAACAAAGATTAAGATCGAGTCCCATGACCACATTCTGTTTAACTTTAGATATTTTAAGGTCTAGCACTTATATAAGTATTTATTTTTTGGTTTCAGGATGTCCGAGTAGGAGGTTATGAAAATGTCCCAACAGTAGATATACATATGAGACAGATCGGATTTGATGAACAATTTTTAAATTTTCTCCAAACTTATGTCCAACCTTTAACAATTAAGGTGTTTCCAGGAATGGAAGAGGTATTTAAATTTTCTCCAAACTTATGTCCAACCTTTAAAGGATAAGGTGTTTCCAGGAATGGCAGAGGTATAATTTATTTATGGTCAGGAGACATTTAAGGTCAGGAAAGCAGATTTAAGATGCAAAGAATTTTTCTCTTTTCTTGTATAAAGATTAGAAATAGACTTTCTTAATAGCTAAAGGGGCTACTTAAGTAATCAAATTGTCAATGGATCTGATTCTTTTTATAATGAAGATTTATAGATAAATTGCAACAAATTTTTGTATCTTCATTGATTTTAAAGTCTTATGCATATAACTACAATGTATAAGGAATTGTAGAAAAATGGGACTTTAATAATAAAAAAAACGACAATTTTTCATATGTCCCTTAATTACTTGATTATCCTTTCACCAATTCTAATGAAGTTTTAACACTATTCTGCTCATTCTATAATGTGTTAAATTGACACATGAACTTTCTATTATCACAAGTTTGCAAGTTGTGGCCCCTGCACCTTGGAATTTCTTCAAAATTTTAGTGTCCAACCAAAACATTTTTCTGTAAAGCCTGAATCAATTGATTACAGAGTTGATGTAAAATGTTGATTAAGAAGTTCTAGATCATGCATGAGTTTTGTTCCAGTTGAGCAAGTTTTGCAGAATGTGTAGCCCTTGGACATAGAAAATTGTTTTAAACTATCTGTGCTCTGGGCTTTATGTATAAGCCATCAATTAGAATCAGACATCCATTAAACTTTTCTTTACAAGTCTTCTCATCTGAAACTGCTCAATGGATTAAAACCAAACTTCGTTGCTGCATCTATAAATATAAAGTTTGTAACTTTCGTCCAGATTGATAAACCAAAATGGCTATCATGTCTAAAAAAAAACACAAAAAAAAACAGGGAATAAGATCTCTAAAACTTAGACAAAGAACTGAATGGTCAGCACACCAAGATATGTCCTGAAAATTTTAGAAAAATCTGTCCTATTTTGGAGTTATTGCCCCTGAAATTTTAGTTTTTACTGATTTTAGCAGTTTTGACTATTATCTAAATACCTATAGGAGCTAAGTTAAATATGTTAATTGCAAAACTGGTCAGCAACATAAAGAATAACTGTAGAATGTGCATCCAAAAGTCCTAATGAACAAACTGGCCATTTTTTTCACCAGGTGGGCAATACAGGCACAGATGTGCCCCTGATCTGTAATGAGTGAATCAATTTGCTACATTTTTGGAATATACCAGAAGTTGAAGATTAAATTTGAATTTGTTGCAATTGTGATTTTTGTGGTAGCTGTGGCCCTAGGAAATGGAAAATGCTTCCAAATATAAGTTATAGAGAATAAAAACCTTGATGCCTCAACAGGTTATGGGTTTGGGCCTTCAGTTGTTCATGGTAACCACATCTTGAAATTAATATTTTAACCCAATTAATAATAAGATTGAAGTTCCAAACTTATTCAGTAACAGATCATTGCTTTGACTCTCAGATAAGTGTAAATATAAAAATAAGAAGATGTGGTATATTATTTCCAATGAGACAACTCTCCACAAGAGACCAAATGACACAGAAATTAACAATTTTAGATCACTGTACAACCTTCAACAATGAGCAAAACCCATACCCCATAGTCAGCTATAAAAGGCCCCCAAATGACAAATGTAAAATAATTCAAACGAGAAAACTAACGGCCTAATTAAACCCATCTAAAGTTAATGTTACAGCAGGTAGGTAGTATTATAGCAATGAATTACATATGCAATTCCTTCAGAATATAGAAATAAGAAGATGTGGTATGATTGCCAATGAGACAACTCTCCACCAAAATGCTTATTTAGTGTTATAACTAAAACACTGTTTTAGGACTTTCAAATTATTGTGTGATTATAGTATCAATTTTTTTTTTACAAATTTTGCAATTTCATTAGTTCAAAATTTAAACACAATGGTATTTGTCTAGTTTATTTATCAGTAGACTAATTTTTGGAAAAGGTCCAATGATGATTGAGTACTGAAAAAGTATACATTAGTCATTTGTTTTACATTATTTTTAATATTTTAATAATTTTTTTGTAGGATTATTGTGTAATAAAATATATTTATTTTATGTCCTTCCTATCAATACCATTAGAGTAAGTTTAACAAATGGTGTGTTTTGTTTCAGGATACCTATGCTCTAATGAACTTTGTGGTGAGATATCGTCCTGGAGAACAGGACCACCTAGAACCTCATAATGATGAATCAACATACACTATTAACATAGGACTTAACAGACAAGGAATAGACTATGTTGTAAGGAACAAAAAAAATAATATATATCTTACTAGGCTAGGCCTCAAAAATTTGTGTTTCTCTTCTTTTTATTTTTTAACCTATTGTCATGATTTGTGAAGACCATGCAGTTATAGAATTGTCTAGGCAGCTATCTAGTCCAAAAAATTTTAAAAATGGAAATTTTTAAACATTTGATTTGCTTGAGAAAGGCAATAAAATTGTTTTGAGATGGTCATTTTTTTTAAATGCATGACTTAATATATAATGGTATATGAAAAAGGAAAAGTAATCTAGATCTACACTGCTTAAAATATTATATACGGTAATAAACAGATTTGGTGTATTCATTAATGAGACTGTGACAAAAGGACCATGATCAATCTTTATCAAAGAAATAATGTTAAACTTAATATACATAGTCAATATAACTTAGAAAAAAAAGGTCAGAGTGACCTACTGTAAATAAATATTTTTTTACAACCAAGATCCATCCTTTCACCAAGATGTACACTGTCAGTTGTAATTTACTTAAATATATCTAAGATCTGAACTCATTGAGATCGATAAATCATAAGATATAGGTCATAGTTACCTATTTTTTGTGGGAGACTGTCACTCTCCCCATGACTCATCTGTACACCAATGATACGTACAGAAAATTACATGTACCAAAAATACTACACTGTACATCAGGCCAAAACAGCCATTTACACCCCAAATACTAAAAAAAGATCAAAGTGCTTGTAAGCACTGAAGGATAAAAGATAGCTCCGATTTTTCCGTGGGAACTAAACATTGAACAATCACATTGTAGGAAGCATTTGAAGGTAAAACTATTTATTGGAGATAATATTGTAGTTAATTCAACAATAATTATAGACCAAGGTAGATAACTCTAATTTTAAATATTACTCTAACAATGACATCATTGATATTTTTAGAGAAGATACTAGATTCATGGACACTGCACAAATTTTGTAATATGGTTATACACTTATATTTATACATCATTTTGTAACTGAAATATCTGAGCATATATTTAATTGATAATTTCTTGATTTCATGGATAGGATGTATAGATTGTTGTGCTGAATGCACTACGTTTTTTTTATCTAAAAAGAAATGATAAAGTTTGGAAAATTTTGACTGCATGAATGCAATCTTTACCCCAAAAAACACTGTAGATATTAATAAAACTTCGATATAATGAATGATGTTCTTAAAAGTTGAACCAATCCACTGAACTATGATATATTTGTCCTGTGCCATATGGTAGGTGTCTTTAAGATGCAGCTGCACACCAAATTAAATGCCTCAGGTACTTTATTCGTCTTTAAAATTTTTATAAGTAATTAATTAAGGAATGACTGATAATACATTTGTGGCTGTTTCTCATTTACAGGGAGGTGGAAGTAGATTTATACGGTACAACTGTAGTGTTGTCAACACAAGAAAAGGTTGGATGATAATGCACCCTGGGAAATTGACACATTATCATGAAGGACTATATACTACGTCTGGAACAAGATACATACTGGTGTCATTTATAAATCCATGATTATAAAACTGGAAAAACTATGACTGAAGTTTTACTTCTGATTTCTTCATACGACACCTGATCTAAAAAAAAAAGTTTACTAGTGTAAACTGAATTTTAAGTGCAATCACAGTGCATACAAAATGGAAAACCTGTAATTTACATTGTAACTAGATGTCTAAACAGTATATTGCTTAATAAAATGTCAAAATTTTCTGTTATTTATTATTTATTCTCATTTAACTATTTTAAATATTTCACAATAAAAAATTTCTAAAGGGGGATTGTCCCAATTGACTCGCTGCAACATTAAATTATTTATGCCTTATCAGCAATATAAATATGTCAGGAGCCTGTAATTCAGTGGTTGTCGTTTGTTGCTGTATATCATATTTGTTTTTCGTTCATTATATTGTTCATAGATCAGGCCGTTAGTTTTATCGTATGAATTGTTTTACATTTGTCATTTCGGGGCCTTTTATAGCTGACTATGCGGTATGGGTTTTACTCGTTGTTGAAGGCCGTGCAGTGACCTATAGTTGTTAATGTCTGTGTCATTTGGTCTCTTGTGGAAAGTTGTCTCATTGGCAATCATACCACATCTTATTATTTTTATGATAAGAACACAACCACAACATTATGAGTCCTTGATTGAATTGAATTAGTATGTCTATTTTTATGCAGGATTTTCAGTATTTGTAGTACTTGTCATCTGATTATTAAAGTCATGCGGTTAATTAGGTTGTCAGTTTACTATGCTTGTTTTCAGTCTTGAGGTTTCTTACTATCAGATTTTACTGTGAGCTGCTGGACTGGTGTTGCAGTGGAACAGAAATTTCTTATCAAATAGCAAAATCTGCCTGCAGATTTGCCTATTTGTTTAGTTGGAGACATTGTGATAATTCTTAAATATTCTTAAATATAAAACACAGGGTCAATACAAAGTAAAGTACATGGAAAGGGTTTCTGAATCAGTTTCCTACTAAGGTCTAAAAGATTGATGAAAATTAGATGATCTTGATTATACATGAGTGGTTGTTAGACACAGAAATGAAAAGTTATTTTCAAACACATAGGTAGAACAGCAAGCTATTGTTCACTGATAATACCCCCTGCTTTAAGTATTAAGTTTACAGGAAGTTGATAGATATGAAATCACTCAGTATAGCATGTTGACATAAAGCAGGATTTTTGAGAAATTTTCAGAACCTCATATTTGTTGTTCCCTTGAAACATCTGACGAAAATTTCATACATGACTGTGATGTGTAAAAAAAATGGAAGTATTCAATTAACAGTGAGTTGAGGAACCACGATTCTGAAAACACATTACACAATATAGCAGGTTTACATTAAGTCTGATATAGAATTTAAGGAAATTTTTATGGGAAAACATAGATATACTTTACCCCCTTCCTTCAGAATGCGGGTATGATATTAACCTAATTGTGCCTTGTATGCCATTCAATCACATTAAACTGAATTACAAATCTGTGAGGATATGTATGTTTTCCCATAAAAATTTCCTTCAATTTTTCTAAGGAACTATTATTAGAGCTTCCTTAAATTCTATATCAGACTTAATGTAAATATATAAATCTTTCCTTATGTGCACTTCTTTACTTTTGTTTATCAAAATTGATTTGCATAAAAGTGAGGAGATAGATGGATGGAGGGCTGTTTAATATCCAGTGGAAAATTAAATGCATTCAGGACATGAACACGTGATATGAATATAAACCCTGTTTTGTAACAGACCAACAGGCTGAGCAGGATTTTAACATTCTAGTTCATAAAGAAGACCCCAGGAAGATATGTTGCCCAACCTGGACACTTCATTCCAAACTCTGCTCTTACTTCTAACTGCTGCTTGCTTAGTGGAGAAGCAACAAATACCAAATTATAGGTCTGTGGTTTGACCCATCTGGGGATCCAAATCATCCAACATACAGCACTTGTGGCAATTATGCTTCCATGAGAGACTGAGGCGGTAAAGATAAGAAGTGGTATGATTACCAATAAGTCAACTATCCATCAGTCCAAAACAAGTGCCTTTAAGCAACTAAAGATCTTCTTACAGCCTTCAACAATGAGCAAAACACACCGTTTTGTATGCTTACCAATGATCTAATTTAAAACAAAAACAATTAACCACAATCAAAATATGACATACAGCAACCAATGACAACTACTGATTTACATGACTAGGAAGAGGCAATATTAACAATGTGGCTTGGTTAAACATGTGCTAACCCTCCCCTTAACCTCTAATCCATCTCAATTTATTGCTGTGCCATATTCATTATTTTATGTGTGCCATTCTTGCAAATATTTTGAAGTGCTCCATAGTTGTCTATTGTCTATGTTTGTATCAATTGTTTCTGCATTTAGTAATAATATTTTTTGGCAAATAAAGACAGTATTACTGTAAATTCAGAAATTATTGCGTGCATTTATTATTGCGATTTTGTCATTTTAGACTAAAATGCGGTTTTAATTTTTGCGATATTGAGAAAAATCCTGTTTATTTCATATAAAAAATTTCAAAATGTGAGTTTAAATTATTGCGATTATAACCCTGTCGCATTTTTCGCAATAATAAAAACATCGCATTAATTTCTGAATTTACAGTAATTTGCTGTTATAGTCTTCAGTATGTTGATATTACGTCGGTGCTGTATTCTTCAAGTTAAAGATGAAAGGTGATCAACATCCAGAAAGAAATTCCACCTGTATCTGTACCACAGGCCATCATTATCTTTAATACTGTGGATTCATTTATGTCTTCAGGTACCAATTTTCTCGGATTGAAGAAAACTTGTATTTTGATGGATAATGGATTTTGTTGTTTTGCAAAAACCTGCATACAAGCCTATAGAACACATGTATTTAAAATCTGTGGTTAACCTTTTCCCACGAGAAAAATCCACGAAAATTAGAATCCTACAAATAATAACGAATCCACAGTAATACAATATAGAGACAACAATTACCAATGTTTCAAATTTTTAATAATACACAAATGTGACATGAATTCATGATTTTTTTAGCTTTCATAACACATTTACTCCATGTATACAATAAATAATATTTAAAATACTACATCTTAAAATTTGATTGCTTAAAATAAATCATTAAAATATAGACTTTACCAGTGAACCAAAAATAGAGACCACATTAATGTCACATGCAAAATTAAAAGTGGATTCTAAATATAGCTCAAACATATAAAAGGTGATGAATATATTCAGTGTTCCAAAAATGCTTAAAAAATTCCATGGAAAACTGAATAAATATCCATAAAAGTTCATCTTATTGTCTTTATCAAATATCTTTTAAAATCACATATAATTAATAAATTGTTCAGTCAATTAATTCTTGACTGCTTGTAACCTTTAAGCAACTGACCATCAACCAGCATAGCTTTGAAGCTGACCAAGACCAGTAAATTAAATATAAAATGTGAACTATTACTAAAACACAATTATTTTTCATTGCCTCAATCTTTTAAAATTTCTTTACATGAATTATTAAAAAAAAAACTCTTGTAGAAAATGCATGTCTTATATTCATAAGCAGCTAAAACTGAATCAATATTTTCCTCAACATTACAAATCAATCTAAAAAACATACAGATTGAAGTCAAATATTTTATTTTAAGCTTCAGATCTTTTCTGTTGATTTAAGATTTGGTAACTTCCTATTTTCATGATATTGATTGTTACAAGTATATAATGTGTCCCTTGTTCATGAAAAGGCTGTAAACATTCTGCATGCTTACAAAAAATGTGGGCAGTTTCATTCATAACAAAAACAATTTGAATAATTGCAACGGATTGTTAAACATCTTATGATCTATAGATATAAGAAGATGTGGTATGAGTGCCAATGAGACAACTCTCCATCCAGGACAAAGTACGGCCTTTTTAAAGCTGTAAGTTTTTTCAGGCTTTTTTTTCAAATATTATATTACATTTTTGCATATCTATATCTAGACGAAAGAAAACATGAACACCATTTTTGTTTATCAAACAATAGACAAATTAAAGATATGGTACTCTACAAACAACACAGTTTTTCAATAGCTGTGAATGTATTAACATTCTTTTTAAACCATTGTATACTGTTCACAAATACCACATGCATGTTCATTTGAAAAATGTTAAGGGGCTTTGCTGTGAAAGTTCTCTCCATCCATAGGATATACAACTTAAACCCAACTATCACAACATAAATTTTACCGATATTTTAGGGGTATAGGTTCAATGGTTACTCAACTAAATAAAATAATATCATGAGGTCATCTGCATCATTACACATGTGTGCAGTGACCATTACTGCACCAGCCCATGGTAATTTGACTTCTCTACTGACTTTTGGGTCAATAGATAATCAAAGATGTTTATCTGTTCAAGTCATTGTCAATCAGATTCAATTATTGGAGAAATCTTTACATATAACTTCTAGATGTACTTAAAAAACTGATGTGACAAGTATATATAATTTTGCAAATAATGGTTAGGAAAATACCAAATTGATTCCTGTATATATAATATCCAGGCAACAATTTAAAATCATTCAATGTAAACACAAAAGAGATCTACAATTTTACATATAAAAATACTGACTTCATTAAATTTAAACAACCTGATATCTAGGATATATAAAATATAACATTTAAGATCTTGGTCATTACACAGACCTGAGTAGGTTTACCTTTTTCTTCTTTTATTGGTCAAAATAAATCATCAAAATCTTCAAAAATCTGAACCATACATATTAAAGATATGTGTAGATTTTATTTGCAACACTCTTTGTCATTATATTGGTCAAAATAAATGCCTTCTCAATTTCTCTCTTAATTCACTAACAACTATCTTGAATGCCCAAAAATTGTTCAAGTAAATATTCCATGTAAGAATCATAAATTAGATGATAGAACAGGCTCCAAACAGATAAAATTAGTTTACAGGTGCCCCTTTTAAGATTCTATAGGCACCTATCTGATCAATACAGTATAATTTAAGTCATAAACATTCAAAGCATAGCAATAAACATGTTAATAATTCTTTACAATGTATAGGAGTCTATGTTTGCACTGCTGACCTTTATAAATTATGTATATACCCCAGTAATGTCTATTAAAAAACATCTGTGATACAAGTATTGTTAGAAGATACAAATTCTAATTAATAAAATGTAAGCTTTTTCTTAGTCTAAGTCTTCATGACTGATACTCTAAAATGTGTAACTGTATATCAGAGAATTCCTAATTAAGCTGGCAATAAATATGAATGGTTAGCAGATTTGCCCCCTCCCTCCTCCAACCAACCACATTACCTTATTCCTCTATTATTTTGCATGTGACAGTTGATTTGTGTAAATATGGCCTTTAAAATGATTCTATTTTTCAGTAACAAATAATATATCATTTATACCTAACTGTATTACTGAGTTGCAGCAAACCAGTATAAAAGGCCCTTGGACTTCATGATTGAATGATGTCAATATATAGTTTCAGAACCAATGTTATCCTTTTCATGATGAGCAGGAGTTCTTCAAAAGTTTTTCTGCTATAAAAGTTGACAAAAAGTGAAGGTACTTACAAGGATTCGTAATTATAAAATGTTTCCTGAAAGGTGTGATAACTGATATTTTACATTATATTTTAAGGTGAAAATCATCAAACGTCTCAACATTTATGGGAGATATGTTTATTCCTGTTATGAGATAAGGAGCCTATTTCTAAAAGTAACACTCAGTTAAGTATTCTGCATCCCCTGATAGTAATGCTTAATGAAAAACAATGTCCAGCAATGATTTCAAGTATTACTGCAGATGTATTCTAGAAATACTTAGTAATGCTTCACATGTATTCATGTAATACTTTACATTTTATGACATGTACTCCTATAACACTGCATGTATTCATGTAATGCTTCACATGTATTCATGTAATACTTCACATGTATTCATGCAATACTTCACATGTATTCATGTAATACTTCACATGTATTGCTTCCCATGTATTCATGTAATACTTCACATTGTATATGGAGTACACTACAGGTATTCATGTTATGCTTCCCATGTATTCATGTAATACTTCACATGTATTGCTTCACATGTATTCATGTAATACTTCACATGTATTGCTTCACATGTATTCATGTAATGCTTCACATGTATTCATGTAATACTTCACATTTCATATATATATATGAAGTACTTGACATGTACTCAAATAACATTGCATGTATTCATGTAATGTTTCTTTCACAGTTTATACATATGATTTTTTACATGCATCCATGCAATACTTCACATGTACAACATACAGCACTATCTTGTGAAAAAGTATCAAGTGGCTGCATCTTTTAAAGAGAAATGGCAGAATTATCAATTCCAATTTGACAAACATTGTAGTTACTCTTTGGATATCAAGTCACATTCAAGTAAAGTAAAAGAACATGACTCTAATAGCTTGAAAATAGGAAAAGTTTCAGAGGTGCATGTAAGAGACATCATGACCCTTGAACTAAGGACCTCTTCTGGCATATTTCCAATACTGATAAGCCAGTATGTTGTCAGCGTTACTTACATGTATAAAAGTTTATAGTCAAAAGGCATTTTTATCATACAAGTTCCCTGACTAGGTCATTTATCAATAAATAACAAAGCAATCTGGCTTTTAACCATTATATACAAATTAAGTTTATAATATAAGGAATACTTTAAAAATGTATCACACATAAACCAAACATCCAAAGGGACGCAACTCAATTTACGAAGCTATCACAAAAATCTTTGTACATGTACACTAAAGTAACATTAATTTAGCAAGCAGGGTAAAAAATTAGAGCAATATAATTTATCTAAAAAATGTACCAATTAGAAAATAAGAAACCTATATATTCACATCTGAAATAATAGAGAATAAAATAGCATTAAAAATACAACAATGATTATTAAACTAACATTTAAATTTTCGACTATTTATATGAACTATACAAATTGTACAAAATGCAACAAAACTGTTCATTGTACAATTAGGTGTCTCTGAAATTTTTAAAGAATGTTCACAGAAAAAATTCACTTATAACTATTAGGGAGCATCAATAAAGGGAAAATAAAAATCATCAGTGATTGGGGTTTTATGATAATAAAATGAGATGGGGGAAGATAAGTATCTGTTTTGTCTTTTTACATCAATAAGAAGGGTTTGACAGTTGTTTTTAAACAGTACAATTGTTAAACTTAAGGGTAGGCATTCTTGAGCACATAGAAATCAAAGAAGGTATACATAGGAAATCTTAAAACACTCATATACTTTATTCCTTAGTTATATCATATTCCTCACTAAAATAAACATCTTAAAGGATTGTGTCTTTTTTCACTATACTGTCTATAACAAGACTGTCAATTTTGTTAGCCAAACATACATTTAAAGGCATACATGTATATACATGCAAAAGCATAATTGAAATTTTTACCAAATCAGGCAAATCCAGAAATTACTACATGTATGGGGGAAGCACTTCCAATAAACTATTGGCATGCAATTGAATTTTCCCCATTAAAATCTTTAAAGAATTGAATAAATCTTGATTCAATTATACTGTAGGTGGTTTTGACTACACAAAATGCATTTCCAGTGTGAAAAAAATATCTTTTCAAAACTTGTTGCTGTACTTTGCATCAATTCAATCCATTCATCTTGTAGTTTATGAAATTTCTATCATGTATTGATCATTTAATTGTTGTCCTAAAATCATTAAGCACTAATTGGTTTTATTAATGTATAAGTGCACTAACACATGGTTTAAAGACATTCCTTAACTCCAAGGACCCTGATTTATTGGTTTTGAAAATTCACTTATCATTCAGTACATGTTAAAATCTTCAAAAAAATGTTCTTTACACATATTACTTTTTTAATAAACTTGTACATTGTACTTTTTCCCTTTCACATTTTTAGCAAAATACTGAAAGTTTTAACAACTTAATGTACTTCATTTATAAGCTAATCAATAATTTGACTCTTAACTACGAAACACACAATAATGTTAGAAGGGTGACCAAAAGTGACCGACAAATAACTATTTTTCTAATTTACAATATTTTACAAAACATTATAAAAAAAATTGCAAAGAAAAATTGTAAATGTTCAAATAAATGTAGCACTTCAAAGACAAAGCTTTAACAGTTGTCTTATAAGAATATACATGTAAAATACAAAATTAACCATTACTTTTTAACATGTTAAAGTTGAAAGAGGACTCAATCATTCTAAAAATTAGCTCATAGTAATCCATAAAAATGTTAACAGTTCATAAAAACAGTTTATAATGTGACTTTTAACTCTAAAAGCAATAGTGAAAATAACAAAATTTTCTTAAAAATTGAATGTACTAAAATAGTATTTAATTCACTGACATAAAAATTTCAGTCAGAACACCTTTAAAATGTATCTATATCTGAATGATCACTCAAACACAGAATCTACATGTTCTTCTGTGAATTTTCTGATTTACAAATGGTATGAATAATCTACTAAAAATATCATCACCAAAGAAGCACCATTGCACACAAACATTCTTACAAGTAATCTCCCTTTGACTCTGGCAGAATTACCTCCCTTCTACACATCAGCAATGAGGTATGATGCACAACAGTTATGAATGTGACACACAAAGAAATGAGAAAAATTTGTTGACCAATGATAATGGCCAACACATGTGACCAATCGCTATGACTGATACAACAAATAATTTTTGATGGTATTTGGTAATGGAAGTTTGTGTATCTCATGCAGTCTATTTTTGCCTAGTTGCTGTCTAATCTGTCTACGACAAATGTCCATTAAAGGAAGAGGTTCAGCTGAAAAAGAAAAGAAACAATGTTAATTGAATAAATAAACAATTGTGCAGTTAATGCTATGTGATCTTATGAACTGTTAGATCAGTCACTTCAATTGAGCAATTCTATCATTCATTGTAAATTTCTTAACTTGTATATGTTATATATGTATCAGACTATCTTATCTACTATTCACTGCATGTGTTGATATACATGTATATTAGATCTTAACTTCAAATTCACAGCTTCAATAATTGTCTATTGTTGAAAAAACTAATGTTGAACTTTAGATATTTTTTGTGCATTTTTCTTATCTCAATGAACATGTATACTATATATCTTCTACAATTTATGTGTCTTTGTTTTGAATTTGATATAAAATAAGGAGATGTATATGTGGTATTTTTGCTAATGAGACAATAAATCCAAATAGCAACGGATGTAAGCAATTAAATGTGACTAATCACTTCAATAAAGTATATAGTAAATATCTTTATTCTTCCTTGATGCTGAAAAAAATGTATCCTATACAACAAATGTACTGCTGATTTCAACTAAATTAAATGAAAGTATGTCATCTAATGCTGCACTGTGTTATACATATAATTTTGTCAGGAGTGTTGATAATTTTTTTCTTCAGTGTACATGTCAGTTTCAAATAATAGTCGTGGCAATCTAATATATTTAAGTAAGCTTCTTGTTGTACCAAGTATATTTTAACACTGCTTTCCATATTATGTGCTGCCTTTATCTCCTTGCTCAAGCTGGTGATTATCCTGTTAGTAGCTGCATTGCACAGATTTTCTATTGTGTGTTTCCAAATTCAACATACATGTACAAGTATTGTATGTGCATGCATATTCTAGAAAAGTCATTATTTTTTTTTTGCACATGTAACAGTAAAACTAGTTGTACTGTACTAATAATAATTTACAATATCATTCAAAGTTAACTTTTACATGTATATAATACTTACGGTCAAGTCCACCTATATAATTCATAGTAATTTCACAATGTCCCCAAACGGCACTAACAACTGGATAAAGTTTTTTGCCTTTCAAATTACGATATGCAACACCTAAATATTGTCCATCTACCACAAAGCTTAAAGTGCCTTCGTCCATATCTAAAACCACAAGAAAACTATCTGGAACAACAAAATTTTCATCTGAATTCAAAAGACTAGGATAAGTTAGTCCTATAGGATTATTTTTTCCATCATGATACAGTTTGTTTCTTCCTAAATCCCAACCCCATGATTCAGAGTTACTCCCTACCAAAGACTGATATCCTACACAATGTAATGGGGATTCTGCTGTGGCTACACCAACAACTGCATGAGTTCCTCTTTGTCTTGTGCTCCAAACTATCTCCCAAACATGGAGTCCACGAGTGTAGCCAACTTTACCCCTGATACAGTCAGTACTCTGTGCAACAGGATGTCGGTGAAATGTTAACTTGTCATCTTCTTTCACAAATATATTAAGAGATCTATCGTCAGGATTCCAGGAATGAGCCACCTGGACTTCCTTTGGCGGTGGTGGCATGTCGAGTAACATGTCTAGCCTGCTAGGCTTTTGGTAGTCAGGATTATACACCATGTTCTCTTTACACAATGCCTTATAGTTTGATTCCCGATTGGTTCCTGTTTTGATGCCTCCAGAAACCTTCTGCCCCATGCTCATTGCTTATCTGCAAATCAGGGACAATATTCAACATTACATCAACATCAAATAGTGTGTGCTGATGTAACAAGGGTAACAAATGTTTGGTGCTCCAACTGATTATGATTCTTGAACAGATTTTGATATTGATCTGAAGATACAAAAAGAAAAACATTAATGAGTAAAACAAAGTATATATCATTTACATGCATATATAGCTAGTGTTTAAATTAGGAACTCCTCACAATATTGCTTGTTGTGACAACCTTTATCATGTTTATTTTGTAGCAGTAGTAGATTTTGTAAGTTTTGTCGGTAAATACAGTTAACTTGTACAATGATGCTCGCAAGTGGGCTAATAATATGAGTATTAAGCATAAGTGTGTTAAAAACTGGAACTTTTTAGAAAGGAAAACCTTCTGTGAACTGAATTTAAGCCATTTACTGTGTCCTGAAAATATGGACACTAATTATGTTGTAAAACTTTTTATGTCAAAATTACACGATAAACATGTCGAGAATCGGCATGCTGTTTTACATTAAATCTATATGGGTAGAGATAGCAATAATCTACGAACGTACAAATTGTTTTAAGAAAATTTTGAGCCCAAAGAATACTGTAAAATAGCTTTGCCTTTCAGTCACAGAAGTGTTTTTGCCAAATTTAGATGCAGTGTAGCCCCACTGAGGATTGAAACTTGGAGATACAAAAATCTTGTTTTAGAAAACATAGTGTGCCATATATGTGATGATTTTATTGAAGAGGAAGCGCATGTTTTATCAAGATGTCCTCTGTATGACGATTTTAGAAACCATTTATATTATATTGCTGAAACTTTTAATGAAAATTTTAATACTTTTGATGATAACCAAAAGTTAGTGTTTTTATTCTCAGATGTAAATATGATACGTGTGTGTGCCAAAACCTGTTATTTGATTTTAAGATGAAGTAGAAATTTTATATATTGTAAATAGTACTTTATTTCTAATTGTTTAATGTATTATATCTATGCATTTTAATAGTCTCTTATAATTCTGTATAGAATGGCTCTCATTTTATTAAGTATTGTTTTACAATGTATAAACACCTATTGTACTTGTTGAGAGATGAGACTTCAATAAAACATTGAATAGAATTGTAACAGGTTATTTTGCTACTTGTTCACTGTACTAATTGATGAACAATGACGAAAGCCAGACTGAACTACACAACACTACAAATACATTTTAACTTTTCAAAGTGGGCCATTGAACAGTCACTCAGTGGATCACCTGTTCAACAGAGTTTAAGAAAATGTTATGGAGGCTTGAGAGGGCATGGTCAAATGTAATTAAATGAAGAAATATGTCTCTGTATTATTTCTTCTCCAGAAAAAACTAACATGTATCATTAACCTTATTTTGATCTCAAACCTAGTAACTCTGTGACATTTGCCATATTCATGTACAAAATATTAATGAATATCTCACAAGGGAGGTAAAATATTTGGTACTCCTAGCCATTCAGTAAAGATGCAGATACTGTAACATGACTGAAATTTGTATCAAAATGTAAGTTTTCTTTGACAGAATAGTATTTTACGTGTGTACTCAAAAGATTTATACATTTAAAAAAATATCAATGTACATTTATAGTTACCAGCAGGTGTTTATAAAATATGCATGGAGAACTATCCCATAAAAATCATTGAAAACATACATATGTAATATAATTATCATGTTTATGGTAAACCACTTTATAATTTAAAGTGCACAACATTTTACAACTACAAATGTAGACATTATAATTACATTGTATTTTGTGTACATACCTAACACCTGTCAATCAATAAACCACCAAACTTCTAAACAAATCAATTTAGACAAATAATGTTTTATGTAAACATGAAAAACACCAATGAAATATCTTTAATCTGTATAATCTGTATATCATATGACTCTGTAGTCATTTATTGTTTATTTGTAATTGGAAAGACTGTTATGTATATACAGATAATGCCCAAGGCCTTTTCTAGTTACATGTATATAGTATAGGGGAGATAATCCAACATGACATAACATTAAACATGTCCATTGGAAATTATGTAATGCACAATTAAAGTATGAGGTCAAAAGTTCAACATGTTTGTTACCTTGACATGTTATTTGTTAGCAAACCAAACTAAATTATGTTAATGCATCAACCATTGAAATTAGAAAATTTAGTATAACATTTTTTTATAAGATAAATAATTTTTTTCTAATTTAAAACAGATAAAAAATTATAAAATTAAAAAAAAAAAGTAAAATAACAAAAATATCGAATTCCAAGGAAAATTCAAAACAGAAATCCTTTATCAAATGGCAAAATCAAACACATCAAACAAATGGAAAACAAGTTGTTTTAAACATACACCAATCATTGAATACATTGTGGTAAGTAGTGCCAGGACAATCTAAAAATTTACTTATTGTTGCATACAAATAAAATTGGGACATTTATTTTTTCTTCTATATCTGATAAAGGATTAGATTTTGGGAAGTGCTAAAATTGGCCCTTATATCTTTAAATTTTTTTTAGACTAGGGCAAAATACTACAAATTTTGCATATACCAGTGATATTGTTTGCCTCAAACATTACATCTGAAATTCAGCTTTTTCCCCTAGAGAAAATTCCCAATTACTAAAAAAATGGCTTAAAATTCCTCCCAATAAGTTTTTCATTTTTCCCAAAAGTGATGGCATTGGTATTCGTGGTATTAATGAATGTAAATTTCGTATTCATGCTATTATTTTGATATTATGAAAGCGCTTTTGAGATCCAGGTTTCTGATCAGAATCATCACGGTGTTTGTAACACGTGGTTTTCAATGCATTAAGTACCATCATTGTTTCCGTCTCTTTCCCCTCCCCAAAAAGTACCTTTCAGGTTTAAAATGTCTGACAATCAAAATACAAGTGATAAAACTGTGCAAAAAAGACAGTAAAGTTTAGCAATAAATCGGAGATGTGTTTAAAATAAATTAAACCAACTTCCCAATTTCAATAAAAATTATGCATTTTTCCCCAAAAAAAACGGAAGAGGTAGTTTTGAAAAAAATTCGTAAGGGTTCCGCGGAACCCAGTGTCTCGCCTACTTTTGCTGTTAATCGCAGGCTCAACAAAAATGAGATGAGGAAAAGATTTAATAAAAATATTCCTCTCGATACAATTTTTTTATTGTAAGAAGCTTCTGTCCAAGTTTGGTAAAAAATCCAGGATAGTTTATGAATCTAATAAAAGTTTTAAAAAATTTAACTGCAGACTGTATGTAATGTTAACTGGAAGAAAAACTAAGTCCATTTATAAGTAAAATATGGATAAACAAGTACAAAATTTTAATAAAAAATTCCTTCTAGATACTAGCTTTTGATCATAAACAAACTTCTGTCCATGTTTGGTACAAATCCAGGATTGTTTAAGAAAGTTATTAAAATTTTTAAAACTTTAACCACAGAGTGAATGTAATGTTTCCTGGCAGAAAAACTAAGTCCATTTATAAGAAAAATACGGAAAAACAGGATTTTTTTTTTTCGAAATTTACTTCTGGATACTATCTTATGATCATAAACAAGCTTCTGTCCAAGTTTGGTAGAAATCCAGGATAGTTTGAGAAAGTTATTAAAATTTTAAAAACTTTAACCACAGAGTGAATGTAATGTTTCCTGGCAGAAAAACTAAGTCCATTTATAAGTAAAATACGGAAAAACAGGAATTTTTTTTTAACAAAATTTACTTCTGGATACTATCTTATGATCATAAACAAGCTTCTGTCCAAGTTTGGTAGAAATCCAGGATAGTTTGAGAAAGTTATTAAAATTTTAAAAACTTTAACCACAGAGTGAATGTAATGTTTCCTGGCAGAAAAACTAAGTCCATTTATAAGTAAAATACGGAAAAACAGGAATTTTTTTTTAACAAAATTTACTTCTGGATACTATCTTATGATCATAAACAAGCTTCTGTCCAAGTTTGGTAGAAATCCAGTATAGTTTAAGAAAGTTATTAAAATTTCAAAAACTTTAACCACAGAGTGAATATTTGTGGACGCCGCCGCCGACGACGCCGACGGAATGTAGGATCGCTATGTCTCGCTTTTTCGACAAAAGTCGAAGGCTCGACAAAAAGACAACAATATCACTGGATACAAGTAGTTGTGATATTGATATTAATACAAAATAACTTCTTTTGGTTACTCACAATTCAAATTATGAAATTATGACCCATTAATTATGTATATCTCGTGTTGTGACGTTAGTTTTGGTCCAATTGTTTTAATAATTTATAACAGTGCTTAACATGTTTACAAATGTAGCATAATTTACTTGAACTGCCATCCCTGATCTTGAATTTTTTTGTGGCTAGGTTTATAATATTAACATTGGCACCTTTTGGTTTTAGAAGATTTTGGGACCTATGCTGCAACCAAAGTTTTTCTAATGCTTTTAAAGAATAAATGCACTACATAATTGTATTCTAACAATATCTCCAAATATGTGCAAACTTCGGTGCCTATAATGTAATATTTTAAAGAAACTTGTTTTATCTAGCATATATAGGCTTTTGAAGTTGATTAATTTAAGAATCAAATTCTGACTTCGGTCAATTTCAGAACATGCAGATCTATTGCGTTTTGTCACATCACAGTTCACAATATCAATAACTTAAGTTAACAGATCACTTAGTTAAGTCACTTTTACGCTACATGAAAATCAACCTTATTTTGGGTAACAGTACATATTAAAGGGACCATGCAAAGACGTATATTACTAGCTCAGTCTTTTAGAAATTTTAAGGCCCTACCAGGGTATTTTTACTACAGGTACATGTACATACTAATAAATAGTCTTTAATGATCTTATAAAGGCAATAGTATATGTTTGAAATGGCTTATACATGTAGCCCAGTGTTTCTGATTATGATAGAAATAATAAATGAAATACAATAAACCACATTGAGTTTTTCAGAATTAAAATCCATTTACATGTAACCATGTCTTTTCAGACTGTTAAACTTATATTTGTAATATTATATATAAAAAAATCACCCCTTTTTTTTCCATTTTACACACCCCTAGATGTAGAGTATTAAAGTATTATCAGTTTCACCCCAAGAAAGTATTCATTTTTAACGAAATAATCTTAGCAGTTATTGAGTTAATCAAAATGAAAATCTTACTGTCTATAAATAACAATGAAATGTAACTGTTTTTTGTTAAAGGGTTTTTCCGAATTTTCCCGCCAAAAAAGCACATGGCTTTCAACAAATGTAAACAAAGCAGTCAAATTGTGATCATGGATTACAGCTTTAATTAATTTAATTTGGATATAGATATTCAATGAAAGGTATAGTCAAGCATTGTTTTTACTTTCTTCTGGATTAAAACTAGTTTTAAAGATCAATTTACAAAAAAAATCTTTGACATAACAACAGACGTCTACGGATACATCAAACGCAAATTGTCATCTTTTGAGAAATATTGAAATGCTGACTGACTTAATTTATTGAGAATAAATTGCTTCGCTGAGCGCAGCTGGATACGACCGCAGATGTCCAACCCTGAAAAGTTGGGGCCAAAATGGACACAATATTCACGCTTGATACAGGTCTGAATTTGGATTGTAATAAATTTTGACACAAAATAGGTTTCTGACACAGAATAACTGTATTCAAAGAACTTCAAATTGGTTATATGATTTGAATTATATTCAATTTTTTGCTTTTGTACAATACACTATGCGAATTGACCCCCCCCCCCCCCCCCCCCACAAAAAAAATAATTTTACCCTGTTTTTTTGTGTTTGTGCAATACACTATGCTGATGAATATTAACTCCCCCCCCCCCCCCAAAAAAAAATATTTTAAGTCTCGGTCAGTATCTCAGACAATCATCATTTCTTAATTCATAATTTACAAGCAGTGCAAGGGAGGTACTCAAACATTGTTATTTAAATTGATTTGGATTACCTCCCTTACACTGCTTTTATATTGTCTCAATTGTCCTTTAACTAGAAAAAACCTTGGTTTTCCCCTTTTTTTGCCCCTAATTCCTAAATGGTTTGAGCCATAACCCCCCAAAGTCAATCCTAACCATCCCTTTGTAGTATGGAAACTTGTGGTATAATTTCAGAGAGATTCATACACTTAAACACATGTTATTGTCTGGAAACTACAAAAATGCTTATTTGGGCCCTTTTTTGGCCCCTAATTCCTAAATAGTTAGGACCATAACCCCCAAAATCAATCCCAACCTTCCTTTAGTGGTTATAAACCTTGTGTTAAAATTTTATTGATTTCTATTTACTTATACTAAAGTTATTATCTGGAAACCATCTGTTTTCGGACGACGCTGACGACGACGACGGATGACGACAACGTGATACCAATATACGACCTAAATTTTTTTAATTTTTGCGGTCTTATAAAAATTATTACAATGGTCAATTATGAAGTTTAATTAACGGATTAATGACCCATCTGATGTCGATAAGCGGATTATCTGTAGTCACAACTTATTACACCTGCTGTAAATGTTAATTAGCTGAGGGTCATAAACTGGTCATAAATATGAAGACAGGTAGAATAATTGTATTTTCATCAAAATATTACGGCAATAAAGGTATGGACTTACGAAAAAGGGCACTGGGCGTCAGAAAAAGGACACAGGGCGGCACTCAGGAAAGGGCGGGCGGATCACCCTGTGAAAACGACCTAGCTGGAACACTGGTTTTAAATACCCTTATCCAAAAAAACTGCAAATGCAGAAACAAAGTAAAATATGCAAAACATTTAAAGTCAATGAACCATGACTGAAGGTGCAGGGTCAAAAAATCTCCTTGAAATGTGCCAATGCTAATATAACTGCATACCAAATATTGTGGACTTATCATAAGTGGTTCCCCATTAAACTGACCAAATAACAAATTTTAACATGTAAACTCTGCAAAAGCTTCAAAGTCATTGAAACCTTGAGGGGATGTAGTCTTATAATTTCCACGGAGATGAGATGTGCCAATGCTTATAAAACTGCATATAAAACATCATTGACTTACCATAAGTGTTTCCCTTTTAACTGACCTAATCACAAACTTTAACATTTTTAACTAGAGAAAAGTTTCAAAGTCAACTGACCATGACCATTGATGACAGAAGGGGTAGGGCCAAATAATCTGCTTGAAAATGAGATGTGCAAATGCTTATACAACTGCATAACAAATTTCACTGATTTACCAAATATTTGTTCATGTCATCACCTCAATACATGTTGACCCTGGTGACATTGCTGGAAACAGCACAGCTAAATCTTGCCTTTATGGCTTTATTTAGGCAAGACAAAAACTTTATTTTGTTTTTGTAAATATTTTTATTTCTCTATGTTATGCAGCCATGAAAAGTCGGTACATTTAGTACATGAAGTAAAACAGTTGTATGCATAAATAAATGGAGAATGTGTCCATGGGACACAGATGATGCCCCCGCTTGCATATAGCATTATAAAGGGACATAAATCAAGAACTGTAAAAGTGACGCTACCCAAATTTGTACTTGATCTGAGTTTGTGGTAATAAGCATTGTTTATAAGTTTCATAACATTTGGTTGTGGCAAACAAAAGTTAGAGAACGGAAACGAAAAATTCAGCAGTTAAAAGTTTGTTGGAGTTTAACTCTTTTTTTAGGTTGTTTTGCAAATTGGCCTAATCTTATTTATACATTTACTGAATGTAAGGAAACAATAGCAGCAAAAGTATTCTGCAAATATACAGGACCACCAACTTTCCACAGAGACGACCATATTTGTGGTTTTGGTGGTCCTAATCATTACAAGGCTAAAACAGATTTCAAGAATAGGGTGACCAATAGTTGCTTGTATCTATGACAGAAAGTAATCTCATTGGCAATCATACCACTTATCTTTATTTTGAGATTGGTAGGTCGAAAAAAATTTAGTCTTAATCTGGAAAATATTTGTCATTTTTGTGTACATTCATTGATTGCAGTTCCAGTGTAATACATATATATATGGCTTAATCTACTATTTGCAAATGAACAAAATAAGAATGTCTAACATGTCTAACACTATTTTATATGTTCTGATGAACATTTTGATGCAAGAAGTTTGTTGTTACACCTACTGACAATGACTGATGTGTTGGAGATTTTTAAATAAATGGGGAATGTGTCCATGGGACACAGATGATGCCCCTGCTTGCATATCATATAAAGTTATAAAGACACAACTGAAGAGCGGTAAAAGTCACACCACCAAAATTCAAACTTGATCTGTATTTTGTGGTAATAAGCATTGTGTATAAATTTTATAACATTTGGTTTAGGCTAACTTAAGTTGGAGAACGGAAACAAAAAATTCAGCAATTTCCATTTGTAAAGGGGCATAACTCTAAAACAGTTAAAGTGACACCACCATTATTCAAACTTGATCTGTGTTTTGTGGTAATAAGCATTTTGTATAAGTTTCATAACATTTGGTTGAGGCAAACTAAAGTTACAGAACAGAAACCAACTTTGGGAAGTACGTACGGACAAGGGTAAAACTTAATGCACCTTCCGCTATGGCGGGGGCATAAAAATAAATTCTCATAAAATTTTCATTAAAGCAATCAAAACCCTTTACATATATCTTTCTTATTTTTGCCTTATGTCACATTTGACCAACTGACATAAAACAATCAGCTGAGCTGTTCAACATGTTCAATGTTAATGTAGAGTATCAAACTTTTAATGTCAAAATAATGCTGGTTAATTTCTACATCCCGAAATTGGCTATAGCATGTTAATTGCTTTGCCATTAGCCCTTCTGATGAACAATTTGTTTGTTTCATATAAATCATACATGTTTTTTTGTCTTTTTATGATTCCAATTTATAGTACTATCATGCCAATTTAACACCTTTTAAAGTAAAGTTCCAGGTTAAGAAATGCACATTGTTTCTCTAATATTTCATGTATCATTTTAGTATGTACCATTAATTGCTTAATCAACAGTCACCAGCTGGTCACTGCCATTTGAACAGCTGATTCGGATTTCTTTGTGTTGGCCAAAACAAAGCGAAACAGGATGAACAATAGACACATTTCCTGATCTTCTCTTTGAACAAATTCGGCTCTTTTATGGGGAAAATCAGATTGATAACAAAGTCACCTTATTCATGGCTAGTCATAAGATCACAAAATTGAGTGTATAATGACAAGAAACGTGACGAACCTACAAAAAAATCTCCATAAAACAATGTGTTTGTAGTCGAGAACGAAAATCACATAGTTACAACAAATCTTACCGTTTAAAACTATATTAATATATAAAATCAGCATAAATATGTGTGAGACTGATAAATCTGAAGATTACAATCTAAAATATTTGTTAATTATGTCTCAATTTTCTCTTTTTCGTCTGTGACACAACACAACTCATTTTTCCAACATGGCTGCCACAGCTATCGAGGTCACGTGATCACCACATTGACATCACCCATGGGGAGCGGAGACGAACGGGGTATTGGAGTGCATACAATTTACAAATTATCATCTAATTAACTTATGCACATTCCTAATCAGTGTATAGATATGTGTATTTGTAGTCTTAATTTGAATTCACTATACAAGTTATACATAAAAGGGGGGTAATAAAAGAAAAAGGGGGAGGTGGATAGTAGCAGAGCCTTATGTTGTCAACGTATATTAGTTCCGCCTAACAGAAGTTCCACTGGAAACTTTGTTATAAACAATGTCATAATGTATGTTCCTGTTGGAACAAATATTCTATACCATTTATTCCGTTAGGAACATTTACTGTGATATTTATTCCAGTAGAAATAATATTCCAGAATATTGTTTCCATTTGGAACTTATATTATGAACTAACAGATATCACAACACTTCATCTGTTAGTAACATGCTTGAACATCTAGAATGGACTACCCTACAAGAACGAAGAAAACAGAGCAGACTGATAATGATGTATAAACTTAATAACAACTATGTGAAGATCGATACATCAAATAAGCTGATACTAAATGAACGTCCTTCCAGAAATAACAACGAAAAAGCATTCAGAATACCATCATGCAAAACAACAGTCCGGAAGGAGTCGTTCTATCCTGAACAATCAGAGAGTGGAACACCTTGCCCAACTGTCAGGTCTCTGCCCCGAGTCCTGAATCTTTCAAGGCTCAGCTCCGTCAGTAAATTAAATGACATGTTTTTATTTTCACCTGTATATAAATTTCACCCATGCAGTTTTTGTTTTTGTTATTAAATTTAAAATTGTTTTCATGCGCACACTCTAAAAATGTGGCAGGATAGTCAACCAGTTGACGGTGGCCGCTTACTGGAAGAAGAAGAAGAAGACTCTGAAGAGTTCTATTCCGTCACAATGATTCATTGTGTTGATAGCAGCACGGCCACAAGTTGTCCTGTATAGGCAGCTATTCATATTCTTCTCGGGCCCTCTATATAATAAATGTCTTTCTTCCCTTCTTCACTATAAAACATAACAATGAAAAGGCACTTAGAATACCATCATGTAAAACAACTGTATGGAAGGAGTCGTTCTATCCTAGAACAATCAGAGAGTGGAACACCTTGCCCAACTCTACTGTCTCCGCCCTGAGTCCTGAATCCTTCAAGGCTCAGCTCCGTCATTAGATTTAAATGCCATGTTTTTAATTGCACCTATATATATATTAAATTGCACCCATTCTCTTTTTGTTTATTAAATTTCAAAAATGATTTCATGCGCTCACTCCAAAATGTGGCAGAATAGTCAACCAGTTGACGGTGGCCGCTTACCGGAAGAAGAAGAAGAAGAATCAGTATATATGTCTCTGCTCAGCGGCTAGTAAAATTTTGAATACAAAATATTCTCTGAAAGACAAAGTTTTATCATCATTTTCTGATTATTTTGGATTGTTTTATGTCTTTCTATTCTATATCTATTTCTGTAAAAAAGGGAGAGTCTAAAGTTAAGCTTTATTTTATTATCTTTGTTTATAAAGTTTAGCTTTATTTTTATGATCTTTTTGTTTATCATAAGTTACGCTGAAAATCGTTAACCCTAAAATACTAAATTAAATTATCAAACAAACCCCTATCTGAATACTAAAAATTTCTAATAAAAACGCGAAAGAAAATGCACGATAATTAAGAGCGTTCAATAGAGAATGACAATACAGGCGAATACAGTAAAAAAAAAAAACGAAAAACGACACACCATGGCATTGCACAGTAACTGCGAGTACTCTCAAATGTGTCTTTTCTGTTGTGGGGATGTATAGATACTCGTATGTTGTACTGTTACTCCACTGTCCGTTAGGGGGAGTCGAGGGTTTGGCGCCAGCAAACTAGTTTAACCCCACCACATTCTATATGTGCCTGTCCCAAGTCAGGAGAATGTAATTCATTGGTTGTCGTTTGTTCCTGTATATCATATTTGTTTTTCGTTCATGGTTTTGTGCATATAAATCAGGCCGTTATTTTTCTCATTTAAATTGTTTTACTATTGTCATTTCGGGGCCTTTTATAGCTGATTATGCGGTATGGGTTTTGCTCATTGCTGAAGCCGTACGGTGATCTATATATAGTTATTAACTTCTAGGTCATTTTGTCTATGGTGGAGAGTTATCTCATTGGCAATCATACCACATCTTCTTTAGTTCTTTTTCTTTTTTCTTTTTTTACAAAGGACAAAACTGTTGACTTCACTGAAAACTAGACTGAGAAATATGAATTTTCACAAAAACTGAGGATGATTTGAGGTGCTCCGGAAGGGTAAGCAGCTCCACTTAAGTTGTGTCAAGTTGCTCATGGAAAGTACAAATTCGGTGAGAAGTCTCATTGGGGGATGTTACGTCACAACAAGGAAAAGAGGACGAAATTGTGTCTACGACAGTCACTATGAAAACATTCGTGGTCATGATTCTGTGACACAAATAACAAAACGGTCAACAAAATCATCATGGCGTCCGTAAAACCTCCAAAAGGATGATATCGACTTTACTTATATAGGATATACAATAAGCGGTGATATATCATTAAATCCTGGTCCAATAAAGAATCCATGTGGCCTATGCCATAGACCAGTTGTTGAAAACCATCGTGCAATATACTGTGAATCAAGTAACTGCTGGTGGCAAATCAAATGTGCAAAAATCACCCCAACAGATTATAATTAAGATGTAGGGCAATACTGACGATCCGTGGGTATGTCCAGAGTGCAACTCGTTTCACTTCAGCGACTCCTTTTTCAACAATTCCTATGAGAACAATAGTAATGAGGAAAACTCTTTCTCCTCACTTTCAACATCACTTACTTACCAAAATGACACATCTGCAAGTGATGTAAATAACCAATCACAAAGTGAAAGTGATGTATTGACCAACTCAGAGAACTTAACTTGAAAGAGACATCCAATTAATGCAATTCAACTGTGCATACTTGGTGAATGACTTTCCAGGATATCTTGATAAGAAATGTGATCCAGTAGTTATAGGGAATACAAGCTTAAATTGTTTAATGTATGCAGATGACATAATTTTAATGTCTCAACCCAAAGAAGGGCTACAAAACTGTTTATCCTCATTGGAACTTTATTGTCAAAAATGGAAATTATCACTGGATATAGAAAAAACTCAAATAATAGTATTTAATAGATCAAGGTAAATTACTGAAAGACTGTAATTTTTATTTTGAGCAAAATCTTATCAAAAGTGTTCAAGAGTATAACTACCTAGGTATTGTAATGAGAGCATCAGGTTTTTTCAGTACTGCAGTTGAAGATCTTAGTAAGAAAGCTCTTAAAGTAATTTTCATGATTAAACGTAAATTTCATTGTACACATAATAATACATCTTTGCTCTTAAAACTTGTTGACTCCTGTGTTAAACCAGTCCTTCTTTATGGAAGTGAATTGTGGGGTCCGTACATTCTTAACCTGGACAAAAGATTAACACCAGGTTCAAATTATGATTTAGAAAAAGCTTTTTTAAATTTTGCACCTGAAAAGGTTCACATTCGATATTGTAAATTTGTACTTGGTGCCACTAAATATGCTTCTAATATTGCCAGTATGGCAGAACTTGGTCGTTATCCAATCTCTATATTTGTTATTTTGCAATCTCTTAAATACTGGATATATTTGTATAAAGACCCTCTTTTGAATTTTTCAAAATTAGCATATAAGTCAATCGAAGATGTTGATTGTACCTTTCCATGTACCTTCAATAAACACATTTTTCAGTTTCTAAAATTCATTGGTTTTGACCATGTCTGGAATGATAAAGGAACTCTGTCAGAAGGAAAACTCATATCTGCAGTGAAAAAGATATTACAAGAAAGATATGGAAAATATTTTTTCTCATGTTTGTCAGGCGAAACCAAAAGAAATTACGCACATATTACAAGTTAAAAAAGGAATATAAACCTGAGACTTATACAAAGCAAAGTTGAATATCTCAAAACAATATATTAGACAGTTATGTTAATTAAGAATTTCTAACCACAATTTACACATTGAAGAAGGCAGATATAATAATACGCCTTTGGATCAAAGAATATGTAAACATATTGTATTGATAACAAAATTGAAGATGAGTTTCATTTTAAATGTGAATGTAACCTCTATCAAGACGTGAGGAAAAAGTTTAATGATGACATTGTTAATATTATACCGTGTTTTTGTAATTTAGATAATTTTGATAAATTTAGATATTTAATGAACTGTTCGGAGACTGATGTTCTCAACAGATTTCTTTTATATATAGACAAATGTATTTTGATTAGAAATTCATCAGTGGGAATAATTGCATAATATCACTAGCGGATTTAGGGGTGTTTAGGGGGGGGGGAGCTCTGGATCCGCGCCTGTAATATTGAAGTGGTAGTTTTGTCTATTGTTTGTTATAAGTGTCACAATTGTTGTCTCTTTATGTTTTATTTTTCTTTTGTTTTTCTATGTTTTCATGTATTTCAGCGATGATCCTTTTGTACTGGATTTTATACTGAATAAAATTAGTTAGTTGACAATTGAAATATATCCGTCGTCATCTGCATGTGAAACAGATATTCCAAAACGACCAACCAACTTGTGATTGCGTCCGTAGAAAGGGATGTTTTTAACTTAACAAATTGGAACTCTTGGTTTAAAAGATTCCTTGTGAGAAGCAACTACGGCAATTCTATGATGGGGTACACAGTTGGTATTATCATAAGTTAGTTCAATGCCGGTTATAATGATTATCATAATTACAAATTTAATCTATAACATATGAATTAACTTTTGGTTGAAATGTTCATTGTCCAGTTGCAAGTATTTCATGCTGATTTAGAGCGAAATACAAATAATTTTAGAACAGTTGAATTAATAGTTTACTAAGTTAAATTGTTTTGTACTAATAAACTCCGATGATGCCGTTTATATTAATCCGAATATTGCACGGC